ATTATCATATATATATATATATATATATATATATATATGATGTATATATGTAATGCCTTAATGTGTGTGGCTACCTGGACATATCTTACACTGGTAGCTAGAGTTATATATTTCTAAGTCCCTTTCTCTAGGTTGGTGTTTTGGTGTATGCATGTTTGCAAGTGAGTTTTACCATGAGAATGATGAAGCTGGAGACGAGGCTTAGGCCTTATGCTAAGTTGTACTCTGATAAGATGTGATATTGGAATGGTAGTAAGGATTATAATTTTGTTGGCTTGGTCTTTTTATATTAGAAATAAATGTTAGATTTTGCTTTGTAATTACTTTACTAGATCTCAATTTTGTTTATTATTTTGATTTCGTTTGTATGTGATACTTCCACCCAAGGAATTTGAATTATTCATAAAGTTATTTTCCAAAATTTCTTCTATCATTATTAAATTATATACTATGTTAGCATGTGAGATAGAGAGTGTCACAATTGTTAAATCTAATAGAAAATCCAAAAAATTACGGAGAACAAAATAAAAAAATGAGAAAATTATAGAGACCAAAATAGAAAATGACCAAAATGAAAAGAAAAGAAAAACTAAAATTCAAGAGAACCAAAATAATACAATTCAAAATTAAGAGGATTAAAATGAAAAGTAGCTAGAATTAAAAGGATTAAAATTAAATTAATCTTATTTTGAATGGACTAAACTTCTATTAATTTAAACTAAATTTATAAATTTGAAACTTTAATGTACACTTGTACAAAGTAAAGTTCTTAATTTTTAGTGACCAACTAAAAAAATCAAACCTTAAACATAAAGCTTCATAAAAATCAATACAATTGCAATCACCTTCAAATTATGAAGGAAATATAAAAAAATTAAGAACAAAAAAGAAAATATGACAAAGATGTCAAAATGAGTGGTATTGCACATGCATGAAATAATAAAAAAGTTATTTTGCTTAATGTAGTTTAAAACAGATATCAATGTGATGCAGAAAGAGTGCTAAAGTAATTTTGTTTATCCTTCATCTAATTTTTTTATTATTTCATGTTCATGTGCTATGATTCATTTTTCTATCTCTACCCCTTATTTTATATTTAGTTTTTTCTACTTATATGTTATATTTGCTTTTTGTACATTTATAAGAGTGATTATGATATTTTATGCATATTACAAACTTATACTTTTTTTTTGTTAGTGGCTAGTCCATTTGTTATAGATTTTTACTCTATATTAGTGTATTTATTGTATTTCAAAGTTTAAGTTTTACAAATTTAACTCAAATAAATATTTAATCACTATAAAGTAAGTTTTTTTTTTTTAATCCTTTTAATTCTTTTTAATTTTATTTTTATCCCCTCAATTTTTTTTGTTTTCATTTCTATCCTCCCAAATTTTAATTGTTTTCGTTTTGTTCCATATAATTTTATGACTTCTATTTTTGTCCCTATAAATTGTTTAGCTTTTCTTGATTAAATTTAACTATAAAAAAATTATAAAAAAAACTTTATAGGGATGAAATTAAAAAAAATAAAAAGATTAAAACCAAAACTTTTATTTATAGGGATAAAAAATTATTTAAACCAAAATTTTATACTAAGTTCTTCAACTTACTTTAAGAATGGAAACATCCAAATATAAATAACATCACTTAAAAATCAATTTAAATCAAAATTAATTTTGCAAACGCTCGTCAAAACACACATTATTAAAGAAATGTCCAAGATCTAATGATAAACAATGAGTCTTTGTGCTTTCACTTTATTTTATGAATGAAAAGTGCAAAGTCATTATATATCATTCTAAACACTTACAAAAATATTAATTAGATAAAATTGTTATTTTAAGAATGCATCATTTTTTAAAAGATTTAAAGTCCATTTTTTTCATTTCAATAAAAAAAATTTCTTAAGTAAAAATAAATGAATAAAGATAGTGAATTGTTAGAGTTAGGGGCAATGACCTTTCTCCCATTTCTGTCTGATGGTGATTGAAGATGAACTGGAAGGTTGTCAATGCTCACAGACTCAGTTGAAGTAAGTAATGGTTCTGTGATATTTGCCGGAAGTTCTTCCAAAGTTCCAGCAGAATAAATTGCACTGGTTGTGGTGTCACTAGAATTCTCATTTTGAGTGCTTTTATCTTTACTTGGACCCATGATGATTAACAAATATGACCATATAAAAGCTGTACCTACCTACAATAAAATAACAAAGTTGATAAAATTATGGCTACAAACAAGGAAATTAGCATATTCAATAAAAATACCTTGTATGGAAGGATTGAAATAAATACTCGACACTACATTGTGTCCCATTATAGTTTATTACCACTTAGATATTGATAAGTTACTCTATACATAAACAAGTAGTGGACTTAATTCAAACTCGTGAATATATTAGAACACACAAGTGATACAGGCATGTCATTTGGTATATCGTGTATTCAAAACGTGTTTCCTTTATGGTTAATTAAAAAATATAATTTGGCATATATAGAGAGAGAAAGAGAGAGGAGGGATTCACTTACATTTATTCCACTTAATAATTTATGTTTTACATCAAATAATTACAATGATTTAATCATTAAATTTAAAAAAAATTCTTAATCATAGATCAAGTTTGTAAATTTTTTAAAAAAAGTTGAACACTATTTGATATTTCAATTTTTTAATTCAAATCAACATATAAAATATTTTTATAATTATCCATCAATTTGAATTAATAAAACAGAGTATCAAATAATTTTTAATTTTTTTTTTAAAATTTTTAAATTTAATCTATACATCAAAAAATTATTTAACGATTTGATATATTTGAAATTTTATGTAAATAAAGAATCATTAATTGATCTTGAAGTAAGTGGATCTCTCTCAATATATATATATATAAAAAGCAAACATAATCATACTCCTGTTGATATTGCTGCATAAGCATCTCCATAAGTCGAGCAGGTGGATGAATCTCCAAATATGCTACTGCTCTCCTCACAAACTGCAGGGACAATAATAAGAAGCAAATTTCCCAAATTCCCTGCATGCACAGCCACTCTCACATATAAGAAAATGAGAGTAAAGGTATTAAAGTAGATTAAGTAGCTTCACACAACTGTATGTTTGGTAAATGATTAATTTTGAGAAATAATCATTTTGTAAAGTTATTTAAAAAACTATAAAAAAAATAAAGAATTCAATTAAAATGAACTATGGTAATGTAGATGTTTTTTACACACACACATTGAGTTCATTAACTTTTATAATATGTATCTTGAACATTGTATAAAAATGATTTTTATTAGTTAATAATGTAAATAACCTTTAGACTTACACACTCCATGAAATTATTATTGAACCAAATACGTTTATGTAACTATCAACTTTTCAAAGTTTTAATGATAACAAAAATAATATAAACTTTGATAGACTAATGGTTTATAAGCATGTGTACGATACATGCATCCAAGGGAAGAGCAAGACGTTTATAAACTTTGAGTTATCATAATCTTCCTAAGTACACACATAAAATTAACTAAGTAAATATTTGTCCCAATATGTTTGCACTTTTAATGAAACATTCGTCCAACATCTAAGAGCACTTTCAGTGGGGGGTGTTTGTTGTGTGTCTTACTTGTAAGCAACGGTGCTTACAAGAAATTCCCGTTGGAGTAAATATACGTGGCAGCAACGGTTCTTAAATTTTTTTTCTTTGTTGCTTGTAGAAGCAACGATTCTTAACCCTGTAAAATTGAAAATGGAGAGATTTGATTGGATGAGGTTCATCCAAGGTGGAACGTGTTTTGCAAACTAAAAAAACTGATAAAACTTTCCTCACCTGTTACTGCTCTTGGTCGACCCCCTCCCTCCGACGGCCATGTTCTTAGAGCGCATCCATGTCTAGAAATCTCTACCGCGCGGAACTCCCTGACTGGACCCCCCCGTCGTGCGCGCAAAACTCCGACCAAACTTCCATGGTGCGCGGTAAAGAGAGAGTGAAGAGTGTTAAAACTGTGCTTTTGTAACTGAAATTTAGTTATTCTTCCTCATTGTTATCAATATGGTGAATGCTAACTTCTCAATCTTCTGGTAGCGGACCTCTGCTCCTTGTAACACCCTGCTGACAAAGTAAATAGGCATTTGAGAGTTACCTTTCTCCTGAACCAAAACTGTGCTAACAGCACTATCTGATGCTGACAAGTACACCAATAAAGGGAAATTTGTCTAAGGCTTAGTGAGGATCGGTGGTAAGGTTAGGGACTTCTTGAGCTCCTCGAATGCCCTCTCACAATCGTCTGTCCATGAAAAATGATCATTCTTCCTCAAGCATTGGAACAATGGTAACGACTTATCAGCCACTTTCGAAAGAAAATGAGAGAGAGATGAGTCAATAAGAAATCAAGGAATTTTCCTGCTTGAACGCCGAACGAGCATTTTGCAGGGTTTAACTTGAGTTGGTATCATGCTAGAGTATCAAAAGATTCTTGCAGGTCGGTAAAATGTCGAGCAACACTAGTCGACTTCACTACCATGTCGTCCACGTATGCCTCCACATTTCTACCCAGCTAATTTGCCAAAATCATATCCATGAGCCTTTGGTACGGCGCCCCCGCATTCTTTAGCCCAAAAGGCATGACCTTGTAATAATAAGTGGCCTGATCGGCTATGAACGCCATTTTGTCCTCATCGGCAGGATGCATCCTGATCTGGTTGTAACCCGAGTATGCATCCATGAAGCTTAACAACTCATATCCCGATGCATTATCGACTAAGAAATCTATGTTGGGCAGCGGATACGAGTCTTTCGGACAAGCTTTGTTCAGATCAGTGAGATTTGTGCACATCCTCCAATTCCCATTGTTCTTTCGTACCATTACCATATTTGCTAGCCATGTCAGGTGTTGGATTTCTCGAATGTGGCCAGCTACCATCAACTTCTTTGTCTCCTCAACTATAGCTCTCCTTTTCTCCTCTCCGAATTTTCGTCTTTTTTGAATCACAACTTTCGCCTTAGGATCAACCATGAGGTGGTGACATAGGAAATCTGGATCGATGCCTGGCATGTCACTAGCACTCCATGCAAAGGCTGATATATTGTTTTTCAACATGGACACCAGTCCCTCCTCATCTTCTTTAGTCAAAGACACACCAACCTTGACCATTTTTCCTTCAGCTAAGCTTATTTCTTTCACATCCTCCGCTGGGGCTGGTCAGGAATCAAAATGAATCACCCTCGGATCTAACTCAATTGTTTGTACTCCCTGATCAACTTGTATTACATATAGGTGTCTTCTCGCCCTCAGGCTGTCCTCGTAGCATTTCCTTGCAACCTCTTAGTCTACACAAAGGACTCTGACCTTTCTGCTGGGCAAGGGGTACTTCAACTTCAAGTGGGGTGTTGAAACGACAGCACCCAACTTATTTAATGTGGGTCGTTCAACTAGAATTTTTTAAGATGACTGAGCATTTACCACTAGATATCAGAATGTAACGGTCATCATATGGTCGCCTTGTCCAAAGGTGGTCTCTAAGTCAGCGTATCCCCTAGCCATCACCTGATCACCTGCAAAACCGACTAAGGTTCCCGCATATGGCATAAAATGATCGGTCAGAATTTTCATCCCGACGAAAGCCTTCGAGAACATGATATCCACCGAGCTACCCTGATCCACCAACACATGTTTCACATTATAGCCCATGACGATTGCGAAAATGACTATGGGGTCATCCTCGTGGGGAGACACCCCTTCATAGTCGGCGTCCAAGAACGTGATGGCTGGCCGACGTGGCATGTCAGGTGTTGGATTTCTCGAATGTGGCCAGCTACCATCAACTTCTTTGTCTCCTCAACTATAGCTCTCCTTTTCTCCTCTCCGAATTTTCGTCTTTTTTGAATCACAACTTTCGCCTTAGGATCAACCATGAGGTTTGGCATTGAGCATCAATTAACAACTCCATATACCCCTCAACAAAATGGGGTTAGTGAAAGAAAGAACCGAACGATAATGGAAATGGTCAGATGTATGCTTCATGAGAAAGGGTTACCTAAGGAATACTAGGTAGAGGCTGCAAACACTGCAGTATTTTTGCTAAATAGACTGCCCATGAAAGTCGTTGATGGGAAGACTCCTTTTGAAGTTTGGTATGGCTATAAACCTTTTTTAAAAAACTTTAAAGTATTTGATGCTTTTGTTTTACTTATGTGCCACAGATTAAGAGAGACAAGCTTGACGACAAGTGGTCGCCATTGAACGAAGAAACGAAATAATTAATGAGCAAGTTAATATCCTGAGGCGAACATCAACAGTTCAATATTCAGAATCAAATATTTGAGACATGTTAGTCGCTATGAACCTGCAAGACGAGCAAGTTATAGTTCAGTGTTATGATTTTTTGGGTAATAATCCATCACATGTTAGGCGACTTTTTGGCTTACCCCCACATCTTCGCCTCAACCAATTGTTAAAGTTCATGGGTCAAAGTGGTTGATTTGTGATTCATAATTATTGTATTTTTTTATGCATTGTATGTAATGTTTTACTAATGTTTTAAACATTGTAAACTTGACCATAATGTTATAAAAGTATTTATTAATGGTCAAAGATACATTTTAATGTTATTACTTGCAATTATGTTTTATGGAATATGTCTTATGTTTAACATCATATTTGTTATTGGTTATTTTATATATAATTTTCAGGTATGGCATCCGGTATCACTCATAATTATTATGTTTCACTAATTCAATAAATCCCGAATGTTAAAACATTACCTGCAGCAGGTCATGCCATACTTCAGGCTCAGCTGTAAACCGTTTCGTGGACTCATCCCACGCAAATCCACTAAGTCCACTAAACAAGTCGTGAACCTCCCGCCATCTATCCTTCAGACTTTTTTGTCTATTTTTAACATTATTTTTCGTGATACCCGTTAATCCAGTCTGTCGGAGGGCTTCAACAATATTATTGTATGCTTGGGTTGTCCAACTACCATCAACCCGATTGCCCAACCTAGCCTCGTCAAGCATGGCAGTCAACAAACGAAAGTCCATGTCATCAGTCCATTTAGTGAACTCGCGGACCGTAGTCGAGGAATCAGGTACAACAGTTTTTCCTCTGTTCATTTTCCACCTATTTTTTGCAAAAATAAGGCACGCAATGATGAAGGGCCATATGTAAAATTTATGAATGAAAACTTGTAACAGAATAATTTATTACAATTAAAACAGTACATGTTATTAAATACATTATTAAATACATCATCTAATTATTAGTATAATTTGTCCACATTTCATATGCTATAGCATCCCGTATAGTTGACCCTTCCCTATGATCATCCTCACGAGCTTGAGTCGGCATGGTATCCATAGGTTGTTCCATCAACTCTCGATCGACCTCTGCTAACAGCGATTCATCATTGTCTACGCCTCGAAGAAAATTGTGTAAAATGCAACATGCTAGTACAATATTCGTCATTGTATCGAATGAACGCCATTTTGTCCTCATCGGCAGGATGCATCCTGATCTGGTTGTAACCCGAGTATGCATCCATGAAGCTTAACAACTCATATCCCGATGCATTATCGACTAAGAAATCTATGTTGGGCAGCGGATACGAGTCTTTCGGACAAGCTTTGTTCAGATCAGTGAGATTTGTGCACATCCTCCAATTCCCATTGTTCTTTCGTACCATTACCATATTTGCTAGCCATGTCAGGTGTTGGATTTCTCGAATGTGGCCAGCTACCATCAACTTCTTTGTCTCCTCAACTATAGCTCTCCTTTTCTCCTCTCCGAATTTTCGTCTTTTTTGAATCACAACTTTCGCCTTAGGATCAACCATGAGGTGGTGACATAGGAAATCTGGATCGATGCCTGGCATGTCACTAGCACTCCATGCAAAGGCTGATATATTGTTTTTCAACATGGACACCAGTCCCTCCTCATCTTCTTTAGTCAAAGACACACCAACCTTGACCATTTTTCCTAAGCAAAGTGGAGAAGTAAACTTAGTTTACTGCAAGACTAAAGATCAACTAGCTGACATATTTACAAAGTCATTACCTATCAGCAAATTTGAACTTCTCAGGAAAAGAATTGGAGTTTGCAGTTCCTAAAACAAGGAGGAGTGTTAAAACTGTGCTTTTGTAACTGAAATTTAGTTATTATTATTTTTATTAAGCATTAACAGAGTCAATAAGTGGTTCCTAAACGTTAGGAGCAAGATAATTATGTTTTAATTTTGCTGAAATCCTGGTTAGGTGCATTTTGTTTTTCAAATTATATATTGCACTACAGCTCATTGAAATAAAGTGTGAGAGAATCAATTATTCCTTTTACTCTTCCACAATACGTATTGTCTTCTTCTCCCAGTTTTACGATTCTCACCATAAAACCTTCAAAGAGAAAGAGAGAGTGAAGAGAAAGAGGCGGTGAAGAGAGAGTGAAGAGAAAGAGAGAGTATTTAATTTTTATATTTAATTTTTTTTGTAATTTTTGGTATTTTTTTATTATGTAAATTTTTTTTATTATTGTAATTTTTGGTATTTTTTATTATTTAATTTTTTTATTATTGTAATTTTTTAATTATGTAATTTGTTTTGTTAGTTATTCATATTTATATATTATCCATAATAATTAATTTTATAAAAATTTATCATAAAGTGTAATGTGAGGTGTCAAAAAATATAGTATGAGTTGTAAAAAAGTAGGGATGTTTACAAACAATTTCTATTAGAGAAAAAATTGTAAAAATATAGTATGAGTTGCTTATGAGTGACGTGATACAATAGAACCCATTTAAAGTGGTTGGAAGTTGCTTATAAGCAACTTCCATTGTAGATGCTCTAATGCACTTAAACTTGTATCTTTTATTCAAACGTTTATCAAGTTCAAATCTAGCACTAGCTATGAATATATGTTTGCGCTCTTAAAATGTCCAAAGACCTTATTCAAAAACTTGAAATATTATTGTTGTGATTACCTACTCTGATATAATGGTTTTATTACAATATTTACTCTTTTGCATATAAGTGGAGATCGAGAAAAAAAAAAAAAAAAAACGTGTTGTCCCCTAGGCACCTAATAAGGCATATACACAAAGATAGGAAGATGAAATTCAAAGGTAAACCCTTTTTAAAGCATATTTCGTCTTCATCTAACCGATCAAACTGCCTTTGCTTTGAAGAGCCGGCATATATGCATGCATGCTTTAAAAGAAAAAATTCATGCATTTAAGACAAAGTCAGAACAGACTTATGAAGGGATCTTCATCTTACAATAGGTAGAGCTTAAGAAGCCTATAAATACAAGACCCCTTGAAGATTTGAAGAGGATACTACCCGCTAACTATACCAAAACTTTATTGCTTTGGATATTCTTCTCTCTTGTATTAAGTTCTAACTTAGTCCATTGGATGATTAGTGTTTTAACCTTCAAGTCTTATTCTTATCTTAGCAAGTTACTACTTTGTGAGCTCAATTTATATATCATCTTCTTAAGAATAATTTTTGTAAACACCAACCTTACACCAACCTTACTTCTTAAGCTTAACTCGAAGAGATCTGCTAAAAGAATACTTATAAATACGTTTTCACAATTTTGGTTGTAATTGTATAGAAAATACTATGTAAACCAAAAGTGACAATTGGTTAGTAGAACCTATCTAGTTTGGAGATAACTTGGCGTAACTCAGATAAAGTGAGTTAGTATAAAAATTTGAATATCCTTTATTTTCTGCATCCTCATTTTTTTTTTTTGGATGAAATGATTTTAGAACATATAACTATTGTATTCATCCTTAGAAAAAGGTTTGGTAAACTTTCCAATTAAACACACGTTGAACCCTCATTTATGTGTGTTTCTTTTAGTTTCAATTATACTAGAAAGTAAATTTGTTATTCCATTAGAATAAGTTAAATGATAGCCTAAATAAAATGAAAAACTAAGTTTCAAGTCCAACCCAAACTACAACTGATTTTCTTTCCTTATCTTCCTCCTAATTGCAATTTTGTAAAGCCTTTATTAGTGGGGGAAATGATTTCATGTTTCAAGATCATTAAAGTCTCAACCAATCTCCACATAACAAGTGATTTCTATTCATTTTTCATCATAAATTGAAATTTTCAATTACATGTCAAGTTAAAGATTTGTGGAATTAAAGACAATTTCCTCTTTTGTGAATGTGTGTAGAATGGTATAGTGAAACTGAACGAGTGCAACATCCAAAAAAGAAAAGTCAACCACAAAGAATTAACCGTGCATAAGCAACTCATTTGGAATCAAAGTTATTTGCTTCATTCCCTTGTCAAGCCTAAGCATTTATGAATCCTTAAAGCATCTGAACAAGTGAGAAGAATGACCATATTAAGAAGATCAAAGATCACTTTCAAATGACCAAGTGTTAAAGGCTCTACCAATAGATATAACTCTGAAGCCTATAAATACAATAAAATTTGAAAAGAAAAATAACATTGGTGTATATTGTGTATAAACGCTCTTTAGTTGTGTCAAAACTCTAAAGAAATTCTTCTAATTCTTAAACTTCTTGTAAAATCATCGTCCAGTGAATAATTAGTGAGAAAGCATAAGTTATTTATCATTACCTTAGCAAATAAAACGTCTTTCAAATGTACTTAAACATACATATTCTCTCTCTAAGTGTTAGCTTGTAAACACTCAACCTTTTCTCTTGTAAACCTAAAGAGGATAGTTAAATAATACTATAATGTGTTGTTGTGTTTTGGCCAAGAATGACATAGAGAATATTTGGTGTAGTCACTAGTAGCATAGATAAAATGCTTGTTGTAAAAGTTTTTTTAAGTTAAGGAACCATTCTAGTTTAAAGGTAACTGGAAATAACTTAATTGAGTGAACCAGTACAAAAATATGTTTATTCTATCTCTCATCTCTCACACTTTTGGACAAACAACTTTTATTAAATTATAATTGTCTACTTGTGAAAAGTTTTAAAAATACACTCAAATTCAACCCCTTTTTGTATTTATTTCAACTTCACGATTAACTGAGACCATGAACACTATGTTCTCCTATAGTGTTTAATAATTTCTTTACTAGTAGACCAAAAAACAATGACACAAAACTAAGTGCAAAATTAAAATCAAAAGGAAATGATATAATCAATAATATGACAAAAGCTATGTTAGTCACATTTGGAGGTACCAACCAGTAGCGCAACAACCATTGACAAGGCCACGTAAGTGTTCAGGGGTTTTGGCAAGTTTATTAAGCATCCAACCCAGAATAGAGCCAACCAAGAATGTTAAAAATATATTCACCACCATAAACCACCTGAACGTACATAACATTTGATAATTAAAAAAGACATAAGAAATAGAAGATGAAATGGTGATAGGAGGATTCATTCACTCACATTTCAACCATTCGTTCAAACGTAATCGATTCAGCTAAATCAGCAACGAGGAGTGCCGGAGTGAATATGTAAAACAAAAGCTGTTCAACCAAACATGTGCATTAGCAATTGAAGCACTTATATGCTTGTCATTGTATATGTGAATTGTAATAAGAAATTTGTGGGCATGAGTCAAATGAATTGCAAGCATTTGCCAATGTTGGACCCCCACAATAGTAGGTATATTCACAAATGTTAGCGGAAGAAATAAAGAAAGAAGAACAAATAAGAGAAAATATTACTATACTAGATTATTTTGTGAATTACATTATCTATGCAATTTTTTTTATAGTATTAATCACAATTTTTAAGTCTTTTGAGTATTATAATTCTTTTATGAAAGAATGCTAACGATAACACTCCTTTCAAATCACACTCTATTATTAGTTAAAAAATAATGAGAACTACAAAATAATGAAAGATTCATTAAATAAAATGTAAAATCTACAAAATTTTATGATTTTGAATAAATTTCAACAATAGGAGAGAATTTTTTTTTTTTTAAATATTAGTGGGTTTATTCCTATCATTTCTTCTTGTTCAATATTAGTCCTTAAAATTTTATTTGTCTTAATCGAGTCTCTCAATTTCTCTACAACTTATAAACAAACTCTTATATTATACTAATTTCATCAAATTTTTAATGAAATTAGTTGATGTAGCAACAAAATTAATTAACAAAATAATTTTGCATAATATGTCATGTTAGATCATTACATCAACTAGTAATGTTGTCATGTTAGGCTAGCAGCTAATTCTATCAACAATTGATTATATTAAATACTAAATAAAATTATGATGGAGATGTAACATCTCATTTTTTAAAATAAATAAATGATGAATTAGATCAATTTAAGTTATAATATAAAGAAATATTTTATTTAATAAAATAAGTGGGGTTGTAAATTAGAGAGAGTATGGTGTTGGACTTCAAACCCAACTTGAAGGCTTATTAAAAATAAAATAAAGGGATTAGGTTTTCTTATGCATCTTTTAAAATTTAAAGAACACTTGTAGAAGGAAACCTAGAAGAGACCACCATAGAGAGTATGGAATAACGACCATAGCTACAGGAAGTACATAGAATCATAGGATCCTCACTCCAAGTGTGAAGGGAATAAGATTGTCACATCCATGAGCATATATGAAGGATAAGGGTAGAGTGATAACTCCTAATCCTCTTAGGTTGTTGTGTTAAATTTATGTAAATGCGTATGAATGCGATTAGTAATTGATTCCTATTATACTTCATGAATTCGTGTACTAGTTTTTGGTTGAATTGACATAGTGATGATGAAGTGATGTGTTTATGGGTTAGGGTTACTATGTGCATGAATTTGAGAATTTTCACTTGGCTGGATGATTTTGTACAACTTAATGATGTTCATTCATTATATGTGTAGTAAGTAGTTGTTTGATCGATTGGATTGTTAAATGAAATGAATGGACGTGTATGGATGAATGTGGGGAAAGTGAATCGAACAACTCGCGATTCTACCTAGTACAAAATTTGCAATCGGGCCAAACGTGAATAGGGCTCACGTTGGGCATAGGGATGCATAAAGGTCTCTAATTTCTTTGTTTGGGCAAGAAGTGCTTCACCCAACACCACTTGACATCAATTTTTAAGGAAGTGTAATGACAAGTGTGACCCATACCATGTTGAGTGAGAAGGTTCTAGAGGGGTTCTTGAATCCTTGACTTCGAGCATAAGAAATCCACATCAGGCAAGATTTAGATAAAGTCCCAAACCTCATAACATTTGGTGCGGGTGACACCATGTCGAGTGTAACTCTAGTAAAGATTAAGGAATCGTGAGAAGAGATTAAGGATTAAAATTAAGTAGATAAAGATAACGAGATAGTGACAAAATAGATATTCAATAAATAATGTGTTCTTGGATGTATGAATAATGAGTAAGCATTATGTGTGAAGAGTTATATAAATGTATGATATGAAAAGTCACCATGGGTGGTGTGATGAGATTTGGTGTATAAGTCCAGTGTTGTAGACTAGCAAATGAAATTGATGGATGTTGGATATATGTAATGATGCGATGTGGCTATTAGAGTCCTTGCATACATATTTTGTTTGCAGGATAGTGTGAGTTTATGGAGGTAGTTTTCATAGGTCATATACCTATGCCTTAAGAGATGTTATGGTGAGGAAATTTTGATGGGAATGAGAGGCAACCATAGCCAACTGTAACACTTCAACAAAATCTTGATAGACATCTTTTGATGAAGAGTGGTTTGGAGGGAATCACCAAGGATGGGGTGGTTCCATTTGGTTCCTAGGCTCTTTTGAGTTGGGGGTGATGAGGAGATTTGGTTCCACATGCATGTAGAGTTAAGAGCATGCATCTACATAAGTATTATGTTTATAATTATGAATGATTGGGTTACATATTATTGTTAGTTGCTGAGGATGAGTGAATGTAATTTTGATTGGTGTTATTATTAGGAGTTTTTTCTTGGATGTGGAGATGAGAATATATATATATATATATATATGGGGGATCCGTTTACTCCAAGAGTAAGTCTACTTAGACTTACTTTATTCAATAACTCATGTTCTACATCAAATTTTAAAGTTCTTAATGTATAGATTAAATCTACAAATTTTAAAAAAAATTGAAAATCATTTGATACTTTGTTTCATTAATTTAAATTGATGAATAATCATAAAATTATTTTATACTCTTATTTGAATTAATGAAATGAAGTATTGAATAATTTTCAAATTTTGTAAAAATTTGTAGTCTTGATCAATGCATTAAGAACTTTAATTTCAATGCTTGAATCGTTGAAATTTAATGTAAAACATAAGTTATTAAATGAAGTCTAGGTAGACTTACTCTTAAAGTAAACAAATCCTTCCCTCATGTGTGTGTGTGTGCACGTGTGCGTGTGTGTGTGTGTGCACATCCCTGAACATCCATGCATGCATATATGTGTGTGCATGTGTGTTTATATGTGTTTTTATATATGTTGCACATGGATGAGATGTATTCTCCCTCTCAATGTGTTACTATGTTTGTTTTAGACTAATCGCCATTTGCAGGAATAAATTGGATATAGGAAGAGAAATTTGATGAAGGGAAAACTTAAAACTTCACTCATATTAGGTTTTGCTCTTATTAGTATGACAACATGCAGATGATTTTTAGTTTTCTTTATTTAAGTTGAAGTTATTTAAATATGATGATTTATGTTTTAGATGAGGATTTTGTGTAAACAAGGAGTTGTGCCTTGTTTTTAACTTTACAAAAGTGTTTGGTTATGTTTATTTTTACTTAAAGAGTTTTATAGAATGAATTGTGAATCCCATTTATATAAATTGGTGATTATGCAATTTTATAATATGTGTACCTTTGTTAATAAATCGCATTATATTTAAATTATTTATTAGATTATTTGAGGTAGGACTTAGGAGGGTGTCACAAGAACAACATAGTTATAAATTGTAAAATATTTGAGAGACTTAATTATAACAATTAGAACTTAACAAACTAAAATCACATCATATCAGGATAATATTTAAGATATTAAAAAACAAATTATGCATTTATTAATAATAATTTTCTATATCTCTTTATTATATGATTTTCTTATTTAATGCATGCTTCTTTTTTTTTTTTTTTTACTTTTCTATTTATTATATAGAAAACATAACTTTTTTATTTTATTTTATAGAATGTTATATAAGGTCCAAAAAATAAGAAACTTTGTTTAGGATTGCCATGTTTGAAAATAGGTCATTTATCAAATTTTTAATGAAAAAATACTCATTAATTTTTTATACATATTTTCTCATTTAATTTAATGACATATTTATTAGCAAAATTTCTCTTATCGAATACTCCTTTTAATTCAAATTATTTCTATTTTAATATAACACGTATTTTAAGAAAAATATGTATTAATAAAATGATCTTTTAACTTTATTATAAATAATTAAAAAATATATCAATGACCAATATTTACAATCGTATAATTATTAAACTCTTTAAGTATTTAGAAAACACAACAATCAATAAAGGTGTTATCCAAAAGAAATTAATTATTATTGTTCAATATTTTAAAGAGACGGATATTTTAACTATAAAAATTGTTATATACTAACATAATATTTATTATTAAAAATTATTTTTTATATTATATATATATAATATATTAATATCTTGTTAAAATATATATATTATAATAACACATAATATATATTATTTGTAACGCAGTTGGTAGACTGGAACGGGGCGTTCCAAAATTGAAACGGGTTGTTCTAAAAGACTAAAATAAGGGTGATTTAGTAGCTCAGAACAGGCCATTCTCAAACTAAAACGGGCCGTTCCAGACTACTAAATAGGCCTGTAAACCCTAGTTGAGAACGGGTCGTTCCAAATATAGTTGTTGTGAGTTAAATTCAACTCAAGAACGGGCCGTTCTGGTTTAAGAATGGGTCGTTCTAGACTTGCCAGAATGGGTCGTTCTGGTCTCAAAACGGGCCGTTTTGGTCTCAAAATGGATCGTTCTGCATGTGAATTTTACACATGATGAAGGAGCCCAGAACGGGCCGTTCCAGACTCGAAACGGGCCGTTCTGGTCACTCCTAACCTATATAAATAAGCGTTGAGGAGGAGGAGAAAAGGGGAACTTAGAGAGAAGTTTTAGAGAGAAAGACTCTAGGCCAGGAAGCTTGCTTTTGGAAGACGGAGGTTCCCGGGCTGAGCTTCGGAAGGAAATTACACTTCTTCTAAGCTCTTGGCGATGCTGAGTTAATCTTCAGGTTAGGGAAGTTTCATGCATTATTTTCCTTGAAAATGGTTAAGTTGCTAAGTTGCCTGATGAAGATTATTTGAGTAGTTATTGACTTACATTGTTTATATGTTGTGTGTTGATAATATGTAATATGTTGTTAAAGTTGCTATATGTTGTGTATTTGGTGAAACTAAGTTGTTTTTATGTTGTTTATTGTTGAATTATTAATAAGTTGAGATGTATAAGTTGAAGTAGTTCATTGTTGAAAAGTTGATATTGTGTTGACTATAGTTGTTTGATTAAGTAGTATAAAGATATTTATTGCTGAAAGTTGAAAGTTGCCTATCGTTGTAAGATGCCTATTGTTGTAATGTTGTAAGTTGTCTATTATTGTAAGATGTCTATTGTTGTAATGTTGTAAGTTGTCTATTGTTGTAAGATGTCTATTGTTGTAATGTTATAAGTTGTCTATTGTTATAATGTTGTAAGTTGTTTATTGTTGTAAAGTTGTAAAGCTGCCTATTGTTGTAAAGTTGAAAAGTTGGGGACATATGGTGAAGATATATGTCCTATGTTGAGATATATAGTAATAAGGAGATAAGTTGAAAGTTGTTTTAAAATTGAATCCCTTAGTACTGTATGGGCGACATGGAAGTAGTCGATCCATGTCATGGTTAAATGACCAATTTGAGTAAGGTATCTTGTTAGAGATGTAGTCTTTGACTAGGTACTGGGGGTGCATGGTACTTGGAGGACAGTGAGTGGGCTAACTCCATATGCGGATTGGTGATGCTAGCCAAGGCCGTGGTAGGCTCATACCCAAACCCTTCTGTCCAGACAGTAGTATTGGACCTCCGAGATCTCCTAGTTGTATATGTGTGACGACGCATTAGTTAATGTTGCATGGGTTGTTGCATTCAAGTTGTATATAATGTTTTATGAATGATTTGATAGTTGAGCTATTGTGATAAATACTATGTGATTGTGTTGTGATGAGTTGTTGATCACTAGGAATAGAGGAGAAGTTTTAGAAGTTGCTCATCCCATTGTGCAGATTGAGATAGTTGTGGTGCTCTAAGAGCCCAATTTGTTTAAAAACCCTCCTTGGAAAGTTGTTCCTCGGAGTGGATGATGTGTTGTTCTCCTCTAGGACTTGGTTGGTCCCGTGTGTGGGCAAGGTCGAGACAGACATGTATGAAGCGACCACGATATAAGGGTCAGGCCGAGCTATACCAATTACAACGACCAATTTGAATAAAGTGCGATGTGTTGAAAATGTTATTGCTAGTAGATGATATTGTATATCTATTATAGTAGATGTTGTGTTGCTTTAAGTTGCAAGTTGAAAGTAGAATTCTATTGCTATTTATTATATGTTGATGCTATTTTTTTATGTTTATTGTTGTGAGCTTACCCTAGTGTGTTTTTCTTATGTGGTTGGGACTGCAATGACCATATCTTGGTATGCGAGCAGATCAGGATAGGTGCTTTGCTGGACTGGGTGAGCTTCGAAACTCGGGAGGAGGGCTAACGTTGTAATTAGTTGATTGGTAGCTTTTGACTACCTAGTTGTTGTATAGGATATTATTTCCCTACTTTCAGTTATATATATTATGAGACTTTTTAGTTGTGTATTCTCATTATATATATATATAATTGTTTAATAGTGAGATTTTATTTTTATACTTGTATTTGGATGCTATAGACAGTGTGAGACCTGGCGGGTTGTTACACTATTGAATATTAAATAGATTTATATTTACGTATTTTTATATATTATTATATATAACATTTTTATATGAAAGAATTTTCTTTTTAGTTTTTATAAAAATTAATTTATTAGATTTTGATCCTTCAAAATGTGAAGATATTTTTTTTTCTTGGTATTATTATTATTATGTAACACTTATTATGCGTTTATCTATTTAATTAAATGACAACTGACTATCTAAAATAACGTCCAGATGTATTTATAGTATCATGTTACTAGTAACAAGCAACAAGTCTAAAAATAATTTATATATTCCTAAAATGAAAGTTATTCAATTACTTTAAAATGATTATTAAGAATTTAAAATTGTGATTTTATATTTTATAGAGATAAAAAAAAAATTAGAATGACTAAAATTAAAATTTACTTGTTTTTTAAGATAAAAATAATAATTGTAAATTTTAAAAGATGAAAAGAATAAAATAAAGAAATCATATAAGAACTACAAACGTATTTAAATTATATATAAAAGATGTAACCGGTGTCTATATTTATCGAATTTATCAATATTTGGTGTTGATTTGATTTTTAATAGATTTTCATTTTTTGCTTCTTTTTTGCTTTTTAGGACTACCAACATTCAAATACCATTTTTATGAATTTTGAAACGAAATTTTCTAATTAAAGTTAAATTAGATTAAAGTCAAACAAATTTCCACAAATCCATATTTAGTTGTAATGTTTAATATATCATAAAAGAAAAATAGTATGTGACATATAAACACTTAATCGTGTTGTTCATACCTAAGAACGGTGGCCGATGGTCACACCAAAAAAATTCATTTCATTCGACCGACTAAACTAGACTTGCTGATATTTCTTTTCTCTATCATTTTTTTTCTGTAATATTTTTCTAAAAAGCAAGAAAACCAGAGATGACCCATTTTATACTAAGAAAAGAAAAAAAATATTAAAAAATACTTGGTCAAAGTTATATAAGTAATATGTATGTTAAGTCCACAAATATTTAGTCATAATTAGTCTTAAGTTTTATATTTTAAAAACGATAATTTTGATCATCATTTTTTCTTTTTATAATTGTTGAATTTCTGTTTGTTTATTTTCAAAAGTCAAAATGTTAGTATAATGGAAGAAATTCTCCCAATTATAAAATATTAAAAGAGAAAAACATACTTCGTATCTCTTAAATTTTTAAAATATAAAAATAAAATAAAAAAATAAAATAAATGATTATAAATGATTATTCAAAAAAAATATGAGAAATCAATACTTTCTTAATAATATTTGAGAGATATAATGTATAGATATATTGATTAAAATTATTAATTTTAAATTATAGAAATTAAGATCATTTTTAACCGGAAAATTAAAGAATGTTCCGGTATGAAATTAAAAGTACATTTTTTAAAATTATAAATATTAATTAAGCAAATTTAAAAAATTATAGATATTAATTAAACAGGATGAAGGAGCAAGTTCCAATCTCATATATATATATATATAATTATAAAATTATAAATATGGGAAATAATATAATAAATAAATAAAAGTTTTAAAAACCAGTATTGTTGACAGCCAGTGTGATGTGAGATATGAACGACCAAAATGGGGCAAAGGTCCAAATTAATTGGTATGTTAACAATAATGTATAATTTTTTCTCGGATCGATTCCTACTCATGAACTATATTCAACATGCATTAAATTGTACAATAATATAAATCAAGCACAATATGGGTATGTCTTTGGTTAAATTTAAACGAAATTAATTTTGCAACTATTAAAAAGTAATTTTATTTAATTTGAGAAGGATGGGTATGAATAGTAAATTTGTATTCTTTTAGTATGTGGATATTATTTATTTCATAAGTCTTATTATATAACTTTATACTTTTCGATCAATTTTAATCAATAATAGTGTGTTATGTTAGATAATAGATAGTGCATTGTTAACACTTCAAATTTAAATTGGTTTCGAAGTAAAGTAATTTATAATATTTGTTTTCTCTTTTATTTTTATGGCATGTTAGTAATAAAACTCAATAAATTTTTTTCAATTCTTTTTATAACAAAATATATTTAATCTCATATTTTTAATTTTACTTAATGTAAAAATTATCATAAATTTTTTTCAATTCAAACAATAACTAAATATATATATATATATATATAACCTCTCTAAAGTGAAAAAAAAAAACTAAAACAGGTATTTTAATTAGGGGTTTCAAATACAAATTAATTTAAAAAATAATCCAAAAACTCCAAAATTGATGCAACTCAATAGTTTTTGGATTTCTTTATATGTTCTTTGTGTTAAATTAACCGGTTTGGTTTTGAATTTGCATCTCGAAAGTTGATCCAAACTAAGTTAAATCAATGTTCATATCATTGACAGGATCAAAACACTAATTGATATTGTATTTAGTTTTTAAATATAAAAATTTAGAGTTGAAGTCTTCTCTTTATAAAAATGATTAATTTTTATTATTTTTGAAAATTTAAAGATAATATCATCTAAAATTTACATACATTAAATGAAAGATTCTCCTTTATTATATCTTATAGATGTAATAGATAAGGGGGCTTTCCATTATTGCAGTTTGTCTCATATGTTATATTTGTTGCGGTTTATATTTAGTGTGTAACTCGTTGCTTGTTGCAGCTAAAATAAATTGCTAATTTTTTCAAGTTTGTTCACATGCTGAATTATTGTATTTGTTGTTATAAAATATACAACATCGAAGGTCATTTACTTCTAAAAAATTGGTTGAAATTAATGTATTTGACAGATATATACGACAACTAATGTTGAGTTTACATATTTTTTTACTCTTATGTTTTCTGGTTCTGAGAGATGATCTATGTTGTCTCCATGTAAATATTGTGGTGTCCAAATTGCCTATGAAAAAATTTAAGATGAACAGTAAAATCTGACCCAGCCAATCAACTCCAAACTACATTGGATTAGACTTATCAGCTCAAATTTCTTTCAGAAAAACATCCAAACCAAATCGAAAGTTCTGTTTTTTTTTTAAGATAGGATGATTTTTTTAGTTCAAAATCGAGCTAAACTAGTCCATTAACATCCCAAATTTAGTAGTTAATGAGAAAATTAATGAGACATTACTTACTTTATCTTCTTATCCGAGTTGAATCCTAACCAACTAAATATGCAAAGACTTAGTTAAGATCTTGTTGGATGAATCTTCAATCATCCAACATAAGCAGAAACAGGTACCTAAAGACTAACAACTTACTTAGTACTTAAAAAAAATTCCAAAATCTTTTTAAACTTATATTAAAAGATAAACTCTTAAAAACATTTCTAGTAAGTTATGTTAAAACATGTTATACTATGAGAAGAAATGAACTTACATTGTTCAAACAATTTCTTGCATCAGCACTTCTGAGGAGATTAAAGCGTTCTGTGGCAATGAATAAACCAAGGAGAGTAATCAAGAGGGTCTCCATAACCGGCACCAGAGCCACGAAGAATAGGGTCCAAAACGACATTGATGAATATGATGCGAAATGGTTGATTGCAATGAGGAACACCTTCTGCTCTGCTTTTGCATAAAAATAGCAATTATTGTTAGTATCTATCAGCTTTTGAAGATGTTGGTGTCAGGTTCAAAGTGTAATTTCCCTTAGGCCAAAGACAGAGAAACAAAAATTGTCGAAATATTACCGAAGGAGTTGCTCTGTTTTTGGTGCCTTGTCTCTGCAATGTAGTGTGACAATGACATTGGGGATTTAATTTATTTAATCCCCTATCAAAACAAGTTACCAACTTGTAATATCACACCAAATTTGCGACTTCTAAATTATGTCACCGTCACCATGTAAATCGTTATATAAATCTACCCCTTGACGATCAATATTGTCAATAAAAGATATATGTGATACTCATAAAAGATTTAATTGATTTAATTTATTATTTCAAGAGTAATGTTATGGAAGTAAAAGTAAAAAATTAAAAATTGTTGTAATTTCTAGTAAAATGTTATTGGTTGGTTTTGTTTTAACTATCCAATGATTGATAAAATTGTAATGATTGAAAGAGACATGTAAGCAAAGGGGTCCTATTCACATGGGTGGGCAATATCATTACGTTAGAGACTATAGAGATGGATGCTTATTGGGTGTAACCATCAGCTCTTCTTCATCTAACCGTCAAAGCATAGGGAAAATTCTCTCCCTGTATGCGCATGCAAGTGAATAGTGAATAAATGCTTGTTTTTATCCCAAGGCTATAATTTAGAATCCGTGATAGATTGATTTGTAAAAATAGAAATTAAATATGACGGAAAAAATGGATTATTTTGATCCTTAAAAGATAATTGAGATAGTTAATAGATAATTGAAAGATTTTCTGCGACATATGAATTTTTAACTGTGTGTGTAACTTCTCTTTCTTTAGCTTTTCCCATTAATATTTAGACATTTAGTTTTGGTTGGTGTTACTAAAGCAATTTACTTTGGTATAGCTTGTGTTGTCTTATAATCTAAATTTATTTGCATAATTACTTCAACATGAAAGGATGAAAAAACTATTTGAGAATTGAGATGACCAATTTTAATTACGAACCAACTTTCTAACTTCCTTCTTTTATTGTCATGTACTAACCATTATGATTTATGTTGTAATGCCTTTTTTTTTATTTGTTTGTTTTTAAGTAAACATATAAGTAATTTATTTTAGACTCAAATATATTTTTAGTCTCTAAAATCAAAAGATTTTAATTTTGGTTTTATAATTTTTTAATCTATTTTTCATTGATACCATGTCAATGCATCATTAAAAATAATGACTTAAGATTTTAGAAGGATGAAAATTAAAGGAAAATATCTTACAAGAATTAAAACCAAAATTTTCTCATTTTACAAAGATTGAAATTAATATTTACAAATTTTTAAGGGATGAAATACAAATAAAAAGTTTTACAAGGACCAAAATCAAAACTTATTTATTTTATGAGGACTAAAAACCTATTTTAGTATTTATTTTATTGACTTAAATATATTTTTACTCTTTCCAAAATGAACATGTTTTGATTTTGGTTCTTATTTTGGTTTTTCATCCTTGTAAAATTCAAACTATGGTTTTAGTCTATACTATTATATGACATTTTCTTAACTACTTATGTATTCATTAGAAGATTATGTGACACTTCCAAAAAAAAATTTATAAACCCTTAAAATAAGTGTTATATATATACACCTTAAAATAGTCGTTAGAGACTAAACTAGTAACTTTAACTTTTAGAGGGATGAAAATTAATGAAAAATATTTTCTAAGAACCAAAACCAAAATTTATCTATTGTACAGAGACCAAAAAATAATGTTTACAAATTTTAAAAGGATGAAAAATATAGTAAAAATTTTATAAGGATTAAAATCAAAACTCACTCATTTTTTGTCATAATCAGAGAGAGAACCTGGCTTTGATACCATTTGTAACACCCTCAAATTTGATGTCTCGATTACTTCACTCCATGGTACTTAACACAGTAACACTTCATAAACTTCCTGGTTAACTTCCTAGAAGATCAACCATCCTTAAATTATTCCAAGCCAAACATGTTTAACTATGAGGTTCTTAAGTGAGAAATCATCAAAAAGTAGATGCATCTTGTTGGTATATGTAGTACAAATTAATTTTTGTAAGTCATCCTCAACTATACAAACTTACTCCTTTACAAATCACTAGATCACTCTCATTTTGATGTCCTAGCAGTTACAAGCATACCATGACATTGGTATGCAATACCAAGCCCTTACTGGATTTAACTTGTCGCCTACCCCTAACATATAGTGCACCCTTCTACCATTATGTTGTGGTACACCTTCATGATTATCCACGACTTACGTGCCAACTCAACATTTAGGTTCCCAGAACCTAACACGACCGTTTATAGCAAGTATAAAGTGGCTTGCTCCATACCATACCACTTTCAAAACACATTAAAGGAAAACCATCTATTTTGAAGAAACACATCCATTCTTTAAATCGTGAATCTCTAAGCTTTCAAAGATCTAATCATTTAGTACCTCTTGCTGAACAACTTAGCAAAACACTCCACAAGAGAACCACAACATTCTTCTTTAAACCATTTTAAAATAATTTTCAGAACATAGTGGACAAAGGCCTAGCCTTCCTCACAACCATTCTTAACAGTATGCCCTATGCATAAACAACAAATCACAACACATCCACACATGCCCACACCCTTGCAATGGGACATAAAACACATCATGCAACAAACATGATAATCATCAATGGTCTATCTTGTTAGGTCTCAAGGCTCACTAAGAAAGCGAGGAGGTTGAATTGCTATTTAAAAATTTTATGCATAGTGGAATCTTTTCCCCCCTTTCTTTGGTATTGGAAAACAATTTCTTGAAATTTAAATCTTGAAAAGATTTTCTTTCACAGTAGAAGCAAATTAACTCCTTTCTATGTTTCTTGAAAATCCTTTTCTTGAAAATATTTTCTTGATCTTTTGGAAAAGATTAATTCATCTCGATTAATAAAAAGATCAACCAAAAAGTTTCAACACAAAGAAAAATTAGAAACAAGAATTCAAGATACAACAAGCAATATCAAGAAGTAAAGAGATACAGGGTGTAAACACCCAATTTCGTCCAGGATACCAAAAACAAGACAAAAGACTACTAAAGCAAGGCAAAAGATCCTTGAAGGCCCAACATGACATCAGAATGGACTAGAATAGCATCAGAAGGCCCAGAAGATCAAAAAGGTCAAACTAGGAGCTCGGAATGGGCCGTTCTCAATATAGAAAGGGCCTTTCCAAACCACCAAAAAGGCCTGAAAATCTTAGGTCAAAATGGCCCATTTTGACCCAGGTTGTTATGAACAAAACAATAGTTTGGAACAAACCGTTTCGATTTTGAAACGGACCGTTCTGAATTCAAATTTTTGCCATAACAAACCAACCCAGAATGACCCGTTCCGATGACCAAACTAGTTATTCCTGTTGGGTCTGACGCCTATAAATAAGTGTCTCGTGCACAGTGCAAAGGGACCGAAATTGGACCAAAAAAGCGACAACTTTTAACTTTTTTTCTAGTATTAGTTCAGATACTTTCTCTCCTTTTTTTCTTTTTGTATTTCTTGACTATTGTGAGGATTATTTGTAATGTGAAGGGTTGCCAAAAAATGCATGGACCCCACATTATTCTATAAAGCTTTCTTCGAAGGTAGTTTTATTAAATTCTTTCCTTTTTCTTTATTACTTTATTCATATAATAATCATTATAAACGAATAGCAATCATGTAGACATACTGTTCTAAACACTCAGGGGTTTAAATCCCCCATCTTCACATGTAGTGATAATAAGTCAAATGTAAATAACAACAAGGGGAATAAGATATTCAAATTATTATTCTTTATTATGCTAATTTCATCATAGGGTACCAATTTAGGTCGTTGTATGGTGTTTAATACCTTGCCTACACGTAAACGATCCCGAACCCAATTCTGGGGTACATTAAATATTAGGGTTTTATTTTGTATTTTTATTTAGCCTTTGTATTATGGGGCAAAATTAGTCTTAGGATTTATTTTGGGACTTAAACCTTGACTTGTGAGGTCAAAAGTCCATTTCTCTCCTTTTCTAGGCCTAAGGGTACTTTAGTGTTTTTGCAGAGATGAGAGCCATTTCATTTGGGCCGCATCTAAGGTTCATTTAGGGTGAATTTGGGCTTGAAAATTTTGGCCAAATGCTCCCAAGAAACCCTAGATGCTCTCCTCTCTTTATAAGTACTATAGGTCCTCAACCTTGTACCCACTTTGGAATATATGCATTTTGAGTGAGCCTTGTTGCCTCAAAAAGCCTTCCTTAGTCTCCTAGGTCCTCACGACCATTCTCCTCCCCTCTCCACCCTAAAGTGAGGTTGAGTTCCCTTGAGTGGCCTCCACCATCCCTTGGTGGAGAGAGCTAGCCAAGAGCACCAAAAACACCTTCCACCTTTCCTTCTCTATTTTCGCCCACCTTCACCCTCACCCTTCCAATATTTTTTTTCACCACCCTTGAGGAAACATCTAGCCATCATCCTTCTTCCTAGTCCGTGGAGAAAGAGGGAGCTCCTCCTTGGAAGTCAAAGAACACACTATGGAAGGAAGGAGCCCATCACAAGGAAAAAAAGAATAACATAAGGATATATACTAGTTCACTTTCCTTGGAAAGCTATATCCAATATTCTACAATCCACTGTAAGCAATAGCGTAATTAAGGACCAAATTAATTGAATTAACCCTAGATCATAGGCCTACCTATTACCATCAATAGAAGCCATTGGTTACAACTCTATTTAGAGAACCTTACTTTAACCTATAAGCTCAATAAACTTTATCTTGAGTTATACCCTTCTTACAAGGAATTATACAAACTATTAAATGAAATCTACGCGATTTTCACAAAAAAAAGTAAAAAAGAAATGATACGACATGTTTGAAGCTTGTTGTGTTTAACTTTCACACTTCTTAAAAATCAAGAACAATGTTCATACATTATGAAATTCTTAAAAAATTTGGTTGTTGATTTCATAGTGTTTCTTGATGATTAGCATATGTGGTTAACCTTTTCTTGCACTTAGAGATAGAATACATAATTTTGACGTTTTGAGAAAATCTCACATGCGCCCTCTAAAATTCTAAACACTTTTTTGAAAAAAAAATAAGACTTAAGGGTTTGTGTAGAAAAATATTTCATAACTAATGTAATCAATTAAATTGA